AGGAGGAGTCAGAGAATTAGGAGGAGGAGTCAGATAATTAGGAGGAGGAGTCAGATAATTAGGAGGAGGAGTCAGATAATTAGGAGGAGGAGTCAGATAATTAGGAGGAGGAGTCAGAGAATTAGGAGGAGGAGTCAGAGAATTAGGAGGAGGAGTCAGAGAATTAGGAGGAGGAGTCAGAGAATTAGGAGGTTCTATTGTGCGGCTTCAGTCACATTCCTCTACTTTTAGGCCCCGTTCACACTGAGCGGTTTATCGCACGATTTCCGCTGCGAAATGGCGCATATTTCATATTTACATCGCTCTATGTCGCTCGTCCAATGGAGCTGTTCACATCTCACAGCTCAATGTCGCCTGTAGCTCGCCGCTTGCACGCGACCCCTTTTTTTCCGGCGGATGTCGCACGATTCGGCCCCAATAGACCCAACAAAACCACGCTATTCAACACGATAAAATGCGCAATGTCGCTCAAAGCCGCTCAGCGCGGAAAAACGCGCATTATCCATGTTGCTCAGTGTGAACGGGGTCTTAGTGCAGTTGGGTGACCATATAAGACCGCTGCATACACCCCCCCACCCCCGATCTGTATACTCACATGAGCCACGTCCTCCTTCGTGCCGATGACACGATCTTGCGAGTGTTTGCTGAACTCCACGTAATGGTCGTCGGGGAACGAATGTCTGCAACGCAGGAAACGCATTCATTAGATAGGAGCAAGGACTCCTCTACCCCCCGCAGACTTGTACCTTGTCTCACGCTCACTTCATGTCAAAGACGGACTTCATGCCCCACAAGGCAGACAGCGGCTGGCTCCACGTCGCAGCAGTCAGGAGGAGAGACCCGTCCTGTGGGGGGGGAGGGGAGGGGAAGATTCAGTGACAGTACGTGCGCAATAACTAGAGATCAGTGACCAGCCATTGTGGAATGGTCCTCATGAGACACCGTCATCCATACTTCTGGTGCAGAGAAATAAGAGCCATTCTTACCCGCGACGGCTCCAGGTGTGTGATAGCCGAGATGTGGCAATTGTAACTGGCTTCTTCCTGCCCGCTGAACACATTGTACAACTTCAGCAGTCCTGTGCACGTCCCCAACATCAGGAAACGTTCCCGCGCCGAAAACGCGCAACACGTAAAGCCACTTTCATCCAAGTTGGCCTCTCGGAAAACTGAAATTGGACGGAAGCTG